TAGAAGAAAGAGATGATGCTCAACGAGTGCCTAGATGAGCAGAACCCAGTGGGCTACTGATGCATGCGACCGGAAAAATTGGAAGATTTACTGGCACCCGCTCGAGTCACTCGACATTCACGGGGACCTCAGGTGATACAGGTGATACTAACTTAGCCTCCCGAAAGGGTAATAGTGTGTTCAGTCACCACCGTAGACAACAGCGGTCCGAAGTTTTGCAAATATCTCAGCAACATTAGGAACAAAATGGTCTGAAGAACTTAAAATCAGATTGACCTCACAGGACTAAGATACTGTTAGGCGGCTAGATATTCGATTAACAAAAACATCTCGTATACTGAAATTATATGAATGAACTACTGAATGAATCTAGGCAGATGGCTGTGGCTAAATACATGCATGACCCCTGCTATCACGTGACAAATTAGTAGACATCAGTGCAGCAGTGGGTCCTGCATGGATTGAGAGGATATGAAAATCAGAAGATAAACTTCGTAATATTTCTTGCAGATCTTACACCACTTCATTAAACGCTGACAGCAGTATTACTGCATAATGGATGAGTGTTTTTGTCCACAAACAAGAGTTCTATACACATGCAAAAACATGGCAAGTCGTATAGAAGAATATGGAACATACATAGGACGAAATCCAGAGGAAAACCCAATTTATAGAACTGAAATCGTAACGAAATTAGATAGGGCTAAATAAAATTCCCAAGTGATCGGGGTGACAAGCAAAAAAATTTTGCGTAGCCCACTCTGTAACACAGGCGATATTTGGTGTAGTTGCGGCACCGTCGATAATTTATATTTCGCGCGTCTGGTGTGATAACGGAATCGCCCACTTCTACACAAATGCCGTACCACAGGGAAGTTTCTCCTACCGTGTTATTATTAATAATTATGTCTTCTGTTCGGCCATAAAGTACGATTTTAAAGCAAGACCACTGTCGTCATTATACTTGTGACGTTACGTTTTGTATGGGACCGTACCGTAATGCCTAACAACAGAAGTTTTACGTGGTCATCGGCTAGAACAAACTATTTAAGACGGCTGGACCACCACGGAGTTATGCCTGAAAAGCTGTTGCTCAGGCTGACCGACGTTACCTGTATCGAAGAAACCTTATTCCTCTTATTTTGCTATCCCCTAGTTTTTACAGTTATTACTGACGATGTTGATAATCTTAACCTTTTTATTTACTGCCTATTCTTTTTAACGGCAGGGTATTTCGCGAAATATAACTACTATAATGCTGAGATATTTGCAAAACTCCGGACCGCAGGTGTCTACGGTGGGGAACGAACGCGCTATTGTCCTTTCGGGGAAGTAGCGCGTTCACCACCATGCTGATGGTGATGGCAAAAGATCAATAGAACTAGCTGAGAGACAGGAGAAACGAAGGACCCGCATGGTGTGGTGGTGAACGCGTTGCTCCCCGGAAAGGGCAATAGCGCGTTCGTTCCCCACCGCAGACACCTGCGGTCCGGATTTTTGCAAATATCTTAGCATTATAGATGTTGATAATGTTTTCAAGCATTTAGGAGTTGAGTGAGGCATTGTCGCAATCCCTTTCGGTAAGGATGCTTGGAAACGAAGGGTTTCGTCAGGTACAGTGTAGTTGTATTACATGCTAAGCACAATTTGCCGGCATAATGTTGGCATATTTTGCAACATTTTCCACTTTTTGTCCACTTTTACATCCATTATTCTTAGTGCTGTATATTCATTCCAAAATTATATTTATTCCGAAGTCATTGTGAGGTTGCTTCCTAGTTTTTCTAGTAGGTAGTATGAAGCTAGCAATGACTCGTTAACGGGAATGATCTGGAAAGCACGGAAGAGCAAGGGCCACATTTGGTGTGGTGGACAGTACAGGAGTCGACTGCTAGGGTAATAAAGAAAGCTGAGGAAAAATCAACCATGTCTTTTCGTAATAATCACAGATTTTTACCATGTACCGCCCTACGGACCTACTCTATGGCAATCGTTTGTTATTGTTTCACACTGAATGTTATCACACTCGTCAACAAGTAGAGTAACTGCGTCTAAGGTTTACTAACATTAACGACGATTTGCTGCGATAATCGAGAACACACAAATGGTCATTTCTGAGTTGCCATTTGTTTCAAAGATGTTTGAGGAGACGGGTAGCGCAGCAGTAGTGATTACAACGTAGTATTCAAGAAAAAGTAATCAACCGCTTTCAATTCAAACGGACATCTTTCTGCGCGTAATATACTTCACTAATTGAACTAAGAACGATTAAAATTTGTAAATCGTTTAGAAGACGGGAATTATCATACTCCACCAAAATGAAAAGTCTAGTTCTCCGGAATCCACAATTGTATTTTTTTGCTTCTTCATTTTTGTCGAGGCTGGGATTTAGAACGCGAAGGTCATTGAACAACAGCGGAATTTCATCGAACAAGACAATATGATGTTTCGCAACGTATCGTTTATGTCTCAACCTGGAAATTTTAAAGGATAAAGGATAAAGCTCTCGGCATGGATCAATCCCTGAGGGATGCGCCATGCAATCGACTTCATTAAGCATCGTTGGAGATGATTGAATGCATATCTGGCCTTTACAATGACTCGCGGTCCGATGTATCGAGTCAGTGCTGCTATCCTCCCAGACAAGTCTGGTACGAAGTTGCCGTTCCCGCAGGGATGGAAGGCTTGGTGAGCCACGGTCGCGGAATCGATTCCACGTGTGTTGCAGGGCGCCTTCAACCATTGCGCCACACGCGCCCTTCCTCGAGTGTAATGAATCTAAAATTTCTTTGTTTAAGCTATTCTAGTTACCTTCATGCTATCAAAATTACCTTTACGACACATGTTGCCATATGGACCAATATAAACGTAGTTCGGCTGATTGGGACTCTATGTGTTGATTTCGATGCACATTATTTCGGACTGTTTGTTTTGCTGCAAAGAGCTCATTTGCAATTGTTTTGGATTCGAACAATATCGTATCCAACGCAGATGTTATGCCAACCGTGGTCTTTGAATAGGTATTCTCTAAACTTGACACTTCACAAAAACCTTTTTTTCAGTCGAATTTCTGAATGCACACCGCATGCAGCGACAAATCGGGCGTGATTGCGTATTTACTGGAATTTAAGCATTTAGGAACATGACCAACTTGCGATATCCACGTTAGTCATCACAGGAGATCTGACGTCGAGGTTAATTTTTATGTCGCATACATAGTTAGCCTGATTTCTTGAATTACTAACAGAAATGCTCCAGTCGGCTTTGAAGATATTGAAGGAAATAACGTCAAATGTTGAGTGCGTTGGAAATATCGTCATTGTTGTTTCAGTGGCGTAACCTCGTGATACTTGTATCACGATTCGTCGATCGAGATTAGGTGCAAATACTCGGACTAGATCCGCCATGCACCTGGACGGCATTAGGTGACTAAGCAGAAGAAAGGTCATATACCTAAACTATGGGGTTTGAAGATTCGTAAGAACTATGGAAAGGAATGTTGCAAGCACCTACCACTTCCTTTTTATTTAACAGTGTTCTAGCATAAGCAAATCGAATGAGAGTTCAGCAAAGAAGATCAGGTTTGGGAGCAAAGTGATAAAGAAGGGCGATGACGATCTTAAAACGTGGTCTGAAGGCGAATAGCACTGCTATGGAAGGTCGCTAATAAGGAAGCGAATGGCGAACGTCTCAGGACCGAGCTACTACGCGAAGTTACCGTGCCTAGGAGTTCAGAAGTACAAATGTAAGGGCAGGCACGTGAGTCTTCTTTAACGTAACTTAAGATACATTATATTACATGGCAGGAATAATAAAGACAAATTTATAACTAGTACAATATATGTTCAGGTCTATGCAGGAATATTTCACGAAAAATATCCTCCATATGGTCCTTACAGAAGTCACATCGCTTCGTAGGTGTTAACAAATGAGGTTCTAAAGGTATTCGCTGTTGAAATAGCATTCTGTCCAAAACGAATGCTATATCTAAGCACGACAACAAACAAGACACTTAAAACTTGAATGGCCAGTCCTCACTGGTTGTGCGGACCCCAGCATAATCTTGATTTTTCGAAGTGTCCCAGCACAACCTCTATTTTTTGGAGATTTGCTGACTAAACCATAATGGTTCCCTGGAATCCCGAGGTCAGCTAGGCCAAAGTCTGCCCCAGGTCTTCGCCAATACAGGCAGTCGCAGCCCTTGTGGATCAGAGGAAGATATGCCACTATGCGACCTTGATACCAGGTTGGTGGTGGATCCTGGTATTGGTTTACACCTAGCTAGACTTCCTGATGGAAACGCTGGACTCCTCAGCTTGGGAGACCCTACCAGAGAATGAATCCCCCGCTGCGCATCGCAGTCCGACACCCAGGAACACCTCTCAGCCACGATGAGGCACTAAATCGTTGGGAGGAATAATGGTACAGAGCAATGTAAAAGTCCTAAGCGGTCCTTTGTAAATGAATACAACGCTAGTGCTTCTTTTCCATATGTAAACATCAAACGGACCCTTCATATCCGTGGAAAGATGCCCCTCAAGATGAATAGACCTTCCAGGTTTTTCTATGGCGTTCACCGGTACTGGTTAACGAGTAAGAAAAGCAGTCGTGAAAGGAGGTGACAAAGGTCGTAGTTGCGGATCGACGTATTGACGTACGTCTGCACCATTTTCACGACGTCACTCCGTTATACCTTTCCAAATGAGCGCCGTCTTTGATTTGACCATGGTCGACACTACATTTGCTGTCTGCAGAATGTCCCTCAATAACTGCTAGATAACTCGAGAAAAAGTGCATAGTTCAGGTTTTAACCATTTTTATCGTTGTAATTTTAAAGTTGGTACTGGTCAAACTAGTGGTCTTTTCCTAGTTCTATGTTGTCGTGATGTAGCTAACATCTTAGCTGACCTAGTTGAACGTGTTTGTTATCGATTGGTTGTGTCCGTTTTGTAAAAATTACATTGGGTTGTTTGTTTTCTGAGCAATACGACGTCGCAATCATGCTGTCTAACGGTCGAAGCGACGAGAACATCGTGCTGTAAGTTGGTTCTCGTTTGTCTTTTTCTCTTTTGTTTCCTTCAATGTGGTTATTTCTTTCAAGTATAAATGGGTATTGTAGACAGTTGTCTGGAGGCGAGGTAATGCGCGAATTTTTCACTCCAATTGAGCAACTGAAGCGTCAATAAGAGGAAGAAGCAGCAGCGCCATAGTGTGACTTGTCTGAAGCACGTCTCTTTCAGTTACTGACATTGTTCAAGCCTTCTGGTGAGTCCATTTAGGTGTGTGCTTTTTACAGTCGTGACTAGTCTAATGCCTCCTGTCTTCTCCTTCGAAATCTTCATAATGACTAGCAACTCTTCGTCCCAATTCAGTTTACTGAAGCTATCGATGATTTTGCAAAAATAAGCACCTGGAACCTACGACAGTGCGCATGGTATTCTTAAAGCTAACAGATGAACAGATCCACCTAGCGTAATCCTTTATTTGATGCATTCGGGGCAATATTTCCTACCAGGAAGTAGTTTATCCTTTCTAATTGACGCGTGTGGCGCAGTGGTTGGAGGCATCACTGCGACACACATGTGGAATCGATTCCCGAGCCCATATCCCACCAAGCCTTCTATCTCTACAGGTTGGGCAAATTTGTACCAGACTTGTCTGGGAGGATAGCAGCACTGGCTCGACACATCGCTAGGCCACCGCGAGTCATTGTAAAGGCCAGATATGCATCCAGTCACCTCCAACGATACTTAGTGAAGTCAAATGCATGGCGCATTCCTCAGGGATTGATTAACGCCGAAAGCTTCATCCTCTTTTTATTGTGCGCTATCTCGGCCAGCGAAGTAATTGTACAAGCAGAAATTCGTCCAGGTGAAGGCGTTAGAAAAAATATATGTTCTTCGATAGATAGTCGAAATCTTCCCTGTAAATCACTCTTACTTGGATACTTAGATGGCCCGTATTCACTAGTTGTGCGGGTGCCAGCACAAGTTCCGTTGTTTCGGAGTTTTTCTGGTTTAGTCGCTGTGGTTCCCTGGAGTCCCGAGGTCAGCTAGGCCAAAGTCTGCCCCAGATCGTCACCAACACAGACAGGCGCTGCACTTGTGGATCAGAGGGGGATTTGCCACCATGCGACTAGTTTGATACCAGGACGGTGATGGATCTTGGCATTGGTACTCTAAAGCACCCTAGTTATCGAAAAATATCTGAAAGCAATGGAAAACAAGTGACTAGCGCCATGGTTGAACACTAAGAAATCTGCTATGAAGTAAGCCCATGAACAACTGTGAACTTTTTGTTGAAGTGTTTCTCGAATTGTATTCTAGAGATTGAACATGGTTTTCCAAACGGAGACTCTTCAGTTTTCTTTAAGATTAAGAGTCAACTTCCAATTTAAGAGATATTACTTCACCTTTTCATATGTATCCATACATATGTATATATCGTTAATTCAGGAGTGAATAGATTCTTCAATCTGCATTCGGTCTACATATACATTAATCATATCTACGAGGAAGATGGCGGATGTGAGATATATCTGAGTGATAGCGATTTTGAGACTGTGCAAAGCAGGAAGGGTTTACCCAAATCTGAGAAGATTTTACGATTTCGACCGCGTTACTGCATCAGACCATCGAGTGATCAGGTAGTAATTATATGCGCAACTTAAAGCGAATCGAGTTGTTTGTGCAGTATTCTTTCTGTTTTATGGTTATCCTTACACGTTTTCGTCCACGTTACTCCACTAAATATTTCACATTAGTACTATCAAGAAATGGTTCCCATGAAACTTTGCAGATCGTCGCAAGGATAGAACTATACTGGGACATGAAACTTGTCGAATATAACGATCGTGTACCAGATGGATTTACAGTACACAGCGAGTTTTTCTTACCAGAAGGACAGTTCAGCGAGGTCATCAAGGAAAAGGTCATTTTCCCGTTCTTGTTTGCTTAGATGTCCTGGCTGCACGTGTTTTGCGATCGCCAGTACAATATCCATAGGTTCGGTTATCTTACAACATTGTGTTTCAATTTTAAAGCGTAATTCGATCTGGTCTAGGCTTCAAGTTTTGCAAATATCTCAGCATTGTTTACTGCCTATCATTTTCTTTTCATGGCAGAATATGATGTGAAATACAACCGCGAGGATACTGAGAGATGAGTAAAACTCTGGACCTTAGGTGGGTTTTGAATTCTGGGTTACCCTTCCCAGGGAACCACTTGTTATCCACTGCACCATCGACGTCCTTGCTTTGCTTTTTCCTCAAGCAGTTTTTACTCTAACGGTAACATTAGCAATCGCCTGCCAACGGGAATTATCGGCATTGAACCCAGTTAAACTGAAGATGAAGTTGAATCACAATGTTTAACCTTTATTTATTACCTATGTGCAGAATATAATGTTTGATAAACTAAGTAGCGAAATATTTAGTTTTTATTTTGTAAGTTCTATGTTAGCAAAAGTGGATTTTGAGTCCAAATGATAGAAAACAGCTAGCATTTCCAATGTTATTAATGGAGAAATGAAAAGAGTTGTTTCAAGTCATCGGAAATTCGCGAGCAAACTGACGTACACTGGAATTCAAAGGGACAGAGCTTGTCATGATATAATTCTAGTTCCCGATATTCTTGTGGAATGTTGAGAAGAAAAGATTCCATTGCTTCAAATGTTCAAATGTGAACATCTCATTTTTAGGAGGAGGAGAACGTTGCATTGGCAGCTGCTGCGTTTTCAAGACCTACGGTAGCGATGACCACAGCTACAGCTGTTGAAAAGCGTTGTTCGCGTCGTGATGGATGAAATGACTCAGACACTATGCAGTAAACATATTGTTATCGTTGAAATCGTTCTGTTCGTCTCATATTTGATACGTGTACATGATGTAAGAATCCAGGTCAGGTTTTCATATTTTTTACCTGCTATATGATCTATCAATTGATTCGTGAAGATAAATCTGAGTTGTGCAGTTCTGCGTCGATTGATCAAGATTAGGGATTATGAATACGGGTTGGTTTCGTTAGTCCGTAAATCCACAATGAAATGCTGATATATCTACAGGAACTGTCACAGATGCTGGGTTTTCAAAATCCAGAGTACGGGATTTATGTCGAATACGGCGTTCACATTTCCAGATCTACGCCCAAGTTTTTACATTGATTCTTAATGTTCTTACTATTCGATGAATTAGGGACATTGAGATTGTCGGCGACGAAGCCACATATCAATACTTTTCTAGGCGCAAAATAAAGACAATGGAAACTCGAGAAAGTAACATTTTCCCATAGATGGATTTGGATTTACGAGATGCTTCTTGACCTAAATCTTCAGTACGCAAGCAACGCAGTGCAATATTCATGCATATCTGCATGATCTTTATGAGGGTTGCACCCTGGCTGTCTTGCTAACAGAAATCTACGGTCGAGTAAATGGAAGTAAGCTGAGAGGTGGCTCTAAACAGCATCCAACTAATCCCACATCCGTTCGAAGATTATTCTGATTTGTGCTTTAGAGAGAGGACATGTTTCAGTATAGCCCACAATCAAAAATCGCAAATGCCTCCAAGCTATATTTAAAGTCGTGCGGGTCGGACAAATCAAAATCAGGTGCACCGTTGATGGACAAATCCCATTAGGGTCGGTCCGACGGTGTGTCAAGCTCGCAGCAAGAGGACTACCGAGGGGACAGTTAGAGTTCTCCTCTATGATCGTAAAATAAAGATATGCTTCTCTTATTCTACTGATCAAACAGAACCTGTACGGCAGGCATGACACTTCCGATGGACAGACGGAGAGTGCTGTTGCTAGCACGAGCAAACGTTTACTGGTGAAGCAAAATTGCTGGCTGTACGGATCATTGTGCTAGGTCATTCTCCGGTTTGCGCTGTGCCGACTTGAGTATATCTTCCGCATATACGTGATCTTACTCAGGAATACGTGCATGACGTATATACGCCTTGTATTTTCACTTCGTTAAGACGGAAACTGCACTCTAATGAGTGCATGGAGAAGGGATGCGGTTCACGATTTCTTCATTTGATACATCGAAAAGAAACGAAGTAGGGAAGGACGAACCAAACACTTTTGCGTGAGTTCTTCATAAGTAGTAGAACAGATTGAATCACTCTATGAAGACCATTTCAAAAGGATCTTAACTTCTTGCTGAATCCAATGAAAAAAAGCATTTGGAACTTCACACATAGCATCCCAAAGGCTTCTGTTTCATGACAAGTATTGGTTAATCTTCTGTTATATTACAAATAAGAACTGCAGAGGGATTACTTAACATAAATATAATAATATTTACAAGAGATCAATGGCTCGCTTATCGTAGAGTACACAACTACGCCTTAGCCGGTGAAGCCTTCTTCGTCTTTTTTTCGGTACTTTCGGCTTAGTAGCGGCCTTCTTCATTGCGACCTTCTGTGGTGACTTAGCAGACTTAGCCTTCGGCTTGGCAGCTTTCTTTGGCGAACTTGATGACTTTTTTTCTTCACTTGCTTATTGGGACTTGCAGCCGTTCTCTCCTTTGGTTTTGCCTTGCTCTTGACCTTAAACTTTCTGGAAACTTTAGTAGTTGCCTCATAGCTGGGCTTTTCTGCCAAGCGGAATCCGCTCGATTAGATAACAGAAAAAACGTTTGTTTCTTAAGGAAAAGTATTTTGGGAGAAAAGCAAAAATTACCTATTCTGAAAAGATCCGACAATCAAGCCAGCTGACCGTATGTTACGTCTTGCCAAAAGAGATAGAAATGAATTGCCATGTGCGTGAAGTGTTGCGGTCATCGTCTCCATCTCCTTGTGTAAGTAAAGCTCATTTAGCATGTCTGATGATACCGAGTAAAACAGATTTCACTGGTGCCCAGTCGAGTCACTCGATTATTAACAGATTACAAGGGATAGGAGTGACAAGTAGAAGCTTTTGAGTTTCTTTAATACTTCTGGAACTTCGACAGTTACCATTGATAGGAATTTCGTATTCTCTAGCTTATATGAGTATAATCCCAGCGCTAGCCTTTCGATAGTGTGTTCAATAACGCTGATCGCACTACCACTCCTTTCCGTGCGGTCAAGTTTCCAACGCTTGTGTAAAAATCGAGAAGGTTCCCAGGATCGACTTTCTCTTAACCTCGGAATTGGAATATGAATATGTCGTTTTCTTGTTCAGCAATCACGAGGTTTTTAAACAGCATACATTTACTTCCATAGAAAAACACAATACAACACAACGCTAGCTGACGTTTCGGCAGTATCGCCTTCTTCAGAGCCTGGAAGGGTATACTGATATACAATCTACTAGGCCAAACGCTTTAATAACGCTTACAAGAAGACGAAAAACTCTTTGGTAATTACATGATCAACAGCATCTCGAAAAACTCACCGCTTTTTACGTGACTTCCAATGAGGAAGTTTAGAACAGCTGATTATAGTCGCATGTGGTTGACGACTGCACCATCCTCATTGGAAGTCACGAAAAAGCGGTGGGTTTTTCGAGAAGTTGTTGATCGTGTAGTTACCAAAGAGTCTTTCGTCTTTGTGTAAGTGTTATTGAAGCGTTTGGCCTAGTAGATTGTATATCAGTATACCCTTCCAGGCTCCGAAGAAGGCGATACTGCCGAAACGTCAGCCAGTGTTGCATTGTTTTGTGTTTTTCTATGGAAGTAAATGCGTGCTGTTTAAAAACCTCGTGATTGCTGAACAAGAAAATCGAGAAAGTTTTCCAGATAACATAGAAATAAGACATGAGGCATGCTATTTTTGTCTTGTTCACTATTTTCTCGATGGTTCTGAAAGATCCAAAAGCTTGTCAACCAAAATCTGCAAAGTCGGCGTATTCGGACACGTTCGTTCTGTCCAATATGAATCTGGCGTTGTGAACTCGTGAACAGCGTTTCACCTGATTGTTCAGCCATTGGTAAAAGTTTCCACACGCTCTGTTGCAACTGTCTGCCAAACATTCTATATAGCGAGAGTTAGATGATGACACCAGCGAAAAGAATGTGGTTTGGTCGACGACCTTCGAAACTTAGTTTTTCTTGTTTTACAAAAAAGGTTTCCTTTTTATGCTCTTCTATGACGTCCAAAGTATAGTAGAACACTTGGATACACACGGGATGCCATAGCTTTATCATACTACCCACTGCGCATCATCAATGATGTTGAATGGTAGATTCTGGTTGCTGTCTGTTGTATAAAGGTTTGATGATCGACTGTGTGAACTGAACCGAACATCATTTTTAGATTGATTAAAGCGAAATATGACGGTGAATTCTGCTTTCACGATTCTTCAATGAATTTCGCAACAGTGGAAATAAAATTCGCCGTACTAACGGCTTTCTCGAAATACCATTTATTTGCATGGTCATCAACGTTTTACGAATGTGGTTGATGATGAAGAGATCGTGTAGGGAAGTAAGCAAGCAGACTGTGCCTATAGCTAACAATTTCATGTAGATCTCTCTTGTGCTACCACCCGCTTTTTCTCATTTACCACCAGCTAGTTACCCGGCATTTCTTAAGACAGTATGTGAAGAGTAGAAACAGGGTCTCGATGAAGAGTGACGGTTGCATCTTCACATGACGCGTTCTTGCGTTTTTAGGATTGGGTATCTTGCCTTAATTATAGAAGATCACTGCGACGACATATTCATTCTCTTATATGGTGTGAGGCAAATAAAAACTAAAGTTAAAATAATCGAAGTTACTGATGGTCTTTGCTGAGTGAAAAGGCACGAAGTACAGTTCCATGATGGTTTGCGGCATGTCACACATTGATGGCCCTATTCATAAGCCTCTCCGCCACCAAATTGCGTAAAGCCAGGAATTTTAGCCCATCACCATTCGGTTCAACATTCCCTTCATGGAAAAGGTTACATCGATTCGGTTTCATGGATTGCCTTAGCCCATGCCATAAGCTAAGAAGCATCCTATACACTGCCTGATTTTTTCCTATTCGATGACGGACCACAGCAAGACTGCGTTATTATTGAAGAAGGTTGACTTTGACGTTGAACCACGTCCACACAATGACAAAACTCATTGAAGGGCCGAGTGTACATGGAACCGCTCTCTCTCTCTTTCTCCCTCATCTTCATCGATTTAGGGAAAGCTTTTGGCTCAGCTGAGATAGAAACAGTCGTGGAGGCCCAGGACAGCCAAGCGCCCCTATTCGGTATATAAAGCCTCTTCGTCAGCTGTTTGAAAATTTTGCAACCAAAATTTCTCCAATCTATAACGACGTCAACATGGACGTCAAAAGAAGGGTTAGGCAAGACGATACCATTTCGCCAAAATTATTTAACACTACGCTCGAGAACATCATGCGAACACTGTAATGGGAAAACGTGAAAGTGAAAATCGATGGTCGGCAATTACACCATCTTTGCTGTGCTGGTGACGTCGTTTTTATAACACCAAAAAATTAGCCAAGAGGAAACCAATGCTTGCCAACTTTGATAAAGCCTATGGAAAAATTGGTCTTCGGCCAAATCTCGCGAAAACGATGCTCGTGAGGAACGGTTTTGGTTTCGTAGGCCCAATCATGCTCAACGGAACGGGTATGTTCGAATGATCCAGTTACGTCTAGTTATCAGTAAATCAAAAACGACTTAGCTCCATAGTTGAGCAGGTGGAAACGACTGGTTTCGAGAACTTTCAAGAACATCGAGGATACAGCGAAGAAAACAAAGAACACCCGACTCCGCGTCTACGTTTTCTACTCCACGGTTCTCCCTACCCCAATGTAGGTATGCGTCAAAAACCTGGTTTCTACGCAACCAAGATAAAGGATTCCTAGGCGTTATGG